AAATGGCTTCTTTGATTTTGTTCCACATGGTTCTATGTTCCTAAACTATTGATTTATTTATTTTTCTCTAAACTATTTAAATTATTTGGTTCTAAGAATATATTAGTCCCATTTGGGCATGGCACTTTGGGCTAGATATAGTAAATTTCTATCTTTTTTTTTTGGTACCGGGGATCAAATTTGGGACCTTGCACTTGCAAGGCAGGTGTTGGAACTACTGAGCTAAATCCTCAGCTCAGTAAACTTCTATCTTAGAGTATGCTGCCATAATAAAATACCTGAGATAGGGTAATTTATAAAGAACAGAAATATATTTTTCACAGTTCTGGAGACTAAGAATTCAAGATCAGGGCTCTAGCAGATTGGATGTCTGGTAAGGGATGGATCTCTCCTTCCAAGATGGTGCCTTGTATCTTCTGGAGGGGAAAAGTGCTGTGTCCTCACATGGTATAAAAGCAAAAGATAGATAGGTAGAGGAAATTATCTATAGATTGAAATATAGCTAGATGTTTAAAACTAACATCTATGACCAATTCTTTTCTTTTCGCTTCTGCTCTTGGGCTTCCTGTGTGTGCTGAGCATGTCAAGCGAGGAGGTTTATGGACTGTCATTCACTTGAGGCACTGGATTGTCAAAATTATTTGAACCAAGACCATTGTGAGTCAATACTGTAATACATATTGAAAGCATCTACTAATGATTTCTTACCTCTTTGTCTCCCTCAGGTACAGAACCGTGGTATTTCTATTTAATTAATGGATTTCTGAATTTCAATGTTGCCTTTGCTTTGGCTCTTCTGGTCTTGCCACTGACTTCTCTTATGGAGTACCTGCTGCAGAGATTTCATGGTGAGAGGCATAAGAGATGGGAGAGTTTGAGGGAAGAGAGAACAAGTAACAAGGTGTACTACTAAGTGAAAAAGAATTCTACTTATTTTATTTTCCATTTTTTCCTGTGGAAATTGTTATCTTGTTGAATTTTCAGTTCATATTTGTAGATTATTTGAACCTACATGAAAATTTGGGTATTTTGTTTCAAATTAAGCTAGCAGGAGGACCCTTCAAATGAGGAAATTAATGTAATTTACACAGTCACCTGTGAAAGCAAAAGCTTTTATGAAATCTCAAGATAACAAGCCTGTTTGAGTCTTCTGTCTTATAAAAAACATGTGAACCTGGTATAATTTTTTTTGTTTGTTTGTTTCTGAGACAGGGTCTTACTATGTAGTCCAGGCTGGCCTTGAACTCACTATGTAGCCCAGGTTGACCTCAAATTCATAACAATCTTCCTCCCTCAGCCTCTGGAGTGCTGGAATTACAGGCATCTGCCACCACACCTAGCTAAAAATTTGAAAACTGATACTGAAGTAAGAGATGTTTTGGATTTCCTAAGAAGCATAATTCTCTGGGTTCCATTTTGCTTCTGTGTTTGCCTTACTGTGTAAGGTTTGGTGTATCATTTATTTTGCTTGCTCTGATTCTGTATTGTACAGCTGGTGTTTTCTCAAGTTGTCGTAGCTCTGGATATCTGGTGCGTACAGTTTCTTTCATGGAGCAGAAATTCATATGAGCTTTGGAAAGATTTAATTTCAGAGTTTTCAGTCTGATTTGGGTACCATATGACTGATTTCTCCCCACCTCACCCCCATTCTGCTTTTCTGTTTATGAAGTATTCACTCTGTTACAGGATTAGCGTATGAGAGCAGCCTTCAGAGTCACTTTTGTTTTATTTTAGGACTTTTGTTTTTAAATAACCATATTGTCATTATTCCAGCAAAGTTAATATAATTCCTTCATATCATCTAATACCCAGTTGATATTGTGACTTCCTAGATTATCTGAAAAATAACTTTTTTTTTTAGTACTGGGGATTGAACTCAGGGCCTTGTGCTTGTGAGGCAGGCATGGTGCCATTGAACTAAATCCCTGACCCTGAAAAATAACTTTTTGTAATCAGTTTGTTTAAAGCAAGATGTTAACAAAGGTCACATACTCAATTTGGTGTAGGTTTCTTAAGCTTTTTATGATTTCCCCATCTCACTTTTTTCTCCTAAAAATTTTTTTTTTTTTTTTTTTTTTTTAGTTTTTTGAAACAGTCTTGCTGTGTAGCCCAGGCTGGTCTTGAACTCACTATGTAGCCCCACCTGGCCTCTAACTCAAGGTGATCCTCCTGCCTCAGCCTCCGAAGTGGTGGGATTATAGGAATGCGCCACCACGCTCTGCTAAGATTTCTGTTAAAGGTGTCAGATTATTCATTTTGTATAGTATCCCACATTTTATATGTAATATATATATTTTATATGTTTGTTCCCTTACTTCTCTTGTATTCTTAAAGATCACTTCTTCCTTCTTTTAAAAAGTAAATTTTTCATACTGGCCGTGGTTGTGCATGCCTGTAATCCCAGCACTCAGGAGACTGAGTAAGGCAGGAGGATTTTTGTGCTTATGGCCAGGCTGGACTACATAGCTGGACCCTGTATCATAAAAAATAATAGTTTTATTTCTGACTGTAAAAATAATTTATGCTTGTGGAAAATTTGGAAATGCTTTTAATGTAAATTAATAATATATTAAGCCATTCTTTATAGTATGAATCTAGTTTTGATTTAAAAATGTATTATGTGCATACATATCCACTTGGTAAGAAAATTAGTGCTTTTTGATCTGTATTTATATTTTTATGTATATTTTATAATAGAAGCATTACTTTAAAAAAAAACTAGAAGCATAGAAAAATATAAAGAACCAGGAAGGAAATTACTCATAATCCTCTCACATATAGCTGTGGTTAGTAATTTTATGTTTTATATAGGACATTTCAAAATTTTAGATCATATTAAAAAATTGCTTGTTAGCTTTTAAGATACAAAAGAGAGGGCCGGGGATTTAGCTCAGTGGTTTTGCCGCCTGCTGCGCAAGCGCAAAGACCTGAGTTCGAGCTCCGGTACCAAAAAAAAAAAAAAAAA